CGAGCTCACTTACAGTTTATGACATGCCCCAAAACAGATTACACATAGGCCAAAAATAACATGCAAGATTGGGGCCTAAAGGAGAGATAAAGAAGGAGGTGCAAGATGGGGACCTCAAATGACAAAATTACCTTAATGAAACATGAAATAGAGCTCAAATAAAGGGTACTTTAAGTTTTTGTCGGAGCTCAAAACAGTAAGCAAAATAACTAAAAAAAGATACAAAAAAAGAGCCAAAAAGAGGGGGAAGGGTGCTTACCCTTGTAGACCAGTCTTTAACAACTTCTTGGACCAAATTTGCTGCCTCCTAGCCTCTGAGAAGGCCTCCAAGCTGCGGTAAATGGAAGTGGTGGAGTGGTGCTAGGTGATGGTGTGAAAATGGGGTAGGATTTGGGTGTTTTTTGAAGGAAATGAGAGAGATAGAGGGAGATATGCATGCAAGAGCCCCTAAGCAATTTTTTGTCAACCCAAAACCAGAACTGGATGCTCTGTTATATAGGCAAAAGGAGGGGAAAAAGAGGGGGAAAACATTCAAGTTTCCCCTCCAAAATTTGGCCTCCCGGATACAAAATCTGGGGGGTCAAAGAGGTCAGTTCTGAACTAAGCAGGGTGCAAGGATCAAGGCCGGCCAGGTTTTGGAGCTGCAGGTGGTCGGCCGGCCACTCCCCATGGCCGGCCGGCCAGGGGTCAAAAGGGCCAAGGTGAATTAATGGCCGGCCACTACAAATTGGTGTCCTCCTAGATGCCCTTAACACAACCCTGTGGTCAAAAATTGACAACAGTGAACCAGGAGAGAGAACAAGCCATTTTTAGGAAGGGTTCAAAAGGGTCAGGTGGAATTACTGGCCGGCCACCAACTTTTGGTGTCCTCCCATGTGTGTACAACACAAAATGGGGGTTAGGATTGAAGAAAGTGACCCTAGGGTGGTCAACATTGGCTTGGAAGTGAGAAAAACGGGCGTCGGAGGACGCCGGAGGAATATAACTGGTTGCTGAAACAATTGCTGGCCTCCCACCCTTCTACGGCCTTCCTGGTGATGAAACAGAGGTACCTGCCAAAAATGAACGAAAACCGATGCAAAACGAATGTTCGGGGGCCAGAACGCGCAGTTCTCCATCACGGATAATCCGGAGTGTCGGTGACTTGGAATT